TCCGCAGCTCCTGGAGGCGCCCCTGAGTGAATGAGGGAGAAAACCCTCGAAATTTTCCATTTATACGACCCTGGGGAGTCAGATTAGGGTTATCGCGCCCGACACGGTACACTTCGCGCCCGGCGCGGGCTTCGAATGCCGAAAGCCCCGTTTCGGGCCGGTGGCGACAGTGGGGTACAGCCCGATCAATCAAATAAACAAAAAGCTAGGAAACGGTCGGTCTTCACTCCTCTGACAGGCTGTCAAAATCCTGTCTCAGGGCGTCAATGCTGTACTACGCCGTGTCGAATCGAGCGTCGATGGTCTGCTGCAACGCGTCGAAACGAGCATCGAAATAGGCCCTGTCCTGCTGTGAGGTGCTGGCCTCTGGCTGCGGGTCCACATCACCCGGGAGCTCGATGTTCTCGAAGAGCTCGTTGAAGGTGTCGTGGGTGGTCGCGCGCACGTATTGCCTCCTTGCCCTCGCAATGATCTTCATGTTGAGCAGGGTGGCAGCATTGATAGGCTTCGGCGCTAACTCCCCTGCATCTATGCCATCGGGGCACCCCCAAGTCTCGGCGAGTCGTGAAAGGAGCGTGGAGACCATGATGTATCCTTGCCGAGCGTCGCTACCCTCTCTTGCCCCCAGATTCTTTATATGCTCGAGGAAAAAGAATTCGGGGTTGGCCCTCTGTCCGGTGGCCATGCAGTAAAGAGCCAGTAGGTCCTTCTGCGTCACTGACTCTGGGCTCCTCGGTCTGGCATGGATGGAGCCGGTGATCAGCTTGTGGCAGATCCTGAGCGTAGTCGGGAGCCAAGTACCCTTTACTCCGGCGTGATAGTCTATCTGACCCGTGAGCTCTCTCCACATGTCGGTCGGGTCAGATGATCAGGGAACTCGCAGACGGCGTCCCGATACTCCAGCTGATCGGCTCGCTGAAAGAAGCCGGCCTGGACGTTGAACTCGTCCAGTGTCAAGGAGCGGTATCCTCCCCGCATCCAGAAGTCCACCGAGTAGACTGTTGCGCCATAGCTATTCGTCGACTCTATGACGCCGACGGTAGCCAGAAACTCCTTCGTTACGGTCGGATAGATTTGAGGGTGGGGATCAAGGAGGAACCCCCATCCTATGGCGTTGATGTAGCCTCTGATCTCATCCTCCCATTCCATAGCCCGGAGGATGTTGAAGTCGAGTACCCTCGACGGTTGGAAGACGAATGACTCGAGGAACTCCAGCCTCTCTCGGTGCCGCGCGGTCATCTCAAGTTGTGCGGGGACCCTGTGCCTCTT